TAAGATGGAAATTGTCATCTCACAAAAAACAGTATGTGGCCAGTAGGTTGTTAGTTGATGTTTATTTTCCTAAAGTGACTGTGGTCTGTGAATGTGTGTGTGATGACAGTGAGGTGCTCAGTGAATGGAAGTCAAACAGAAGGAAAGAGAGAGAAAACAAAGCTTTTAACTATTAAAGCTGCTCCTCTCTTGACCCAGAGTTGATTTCCGAAGCACAGTGAGATCCATATTTAAACACCACATTCACTGCAGTATATTCCCGCTCTGCTCGCTAGCTCACGCTATCACATGGTATGAATAAAGATGCCACTCAAGTCAACAACAAGGGCAGGACACACAAACAAACACACAAACGCTCAGGAAAGTGTTGCCTCGCCTTATGAAATCCATGCACATTCGTGTGCATGCTCGCAGACACGAGTGTGTGCTGAAAGCCTGATCAAAGGGGCCATTATTGGAGACAATTGGACAGAAGTGTTGCTGCTCATGAGCTCCAGGTCTGCCTCCTGCCCTCACTAACCCTTTCCCCCACTCCCTTCCTCCTTCCGACTCTCTCGGAGTGTTTCTCCATGCAGTCAGTCCACCTCCCCAACAGTGTAGGGCTCACTCTTACCCAAACATTGATTTTTCTTTCCTAGATACGTCCTTTGAGCTAGCACAGCTGATCAGACTGCATCCTATAGCCGTTTTCAGACATGACCCGTGGGGGGAGAATCGGGTCCAGACTTTCAACGCAGTTTGCCTTTAACATATGCACAATGCAGCGGGGAGGTTCAGTTGAGGGGTGGAGCAGCCGGGTGCAGCTGGCAGAGGAAGGATGTAAAGTATTATTTCTGATGCGGAGATCAAGTGATTTTGTTTACACTACATCGACACTGGCATCAGTTCCTATCACCACAAACTCTCTTGACGTCTTCGTCTGTGTCCTCTAAAGATATGGCGGTGCTTTCTCACCTGAGATATTTCTTTTCTTTTTGCTTTTTTTCATTTTTGCAATTCTCGCGTGTTATAAGTGTCATCAAAACCTGGGAGGCCATCTATTGGCTCTGAAGATGGTGTTGCTTTCAGGCATGTGACGCCATAAGTCCATAATTCATTTGCTCAGCTACATGTGGGCAGTCTTGTGACATGAATTACAACACACCAAACGTAATAACCATTTAACGTACCATGTTATAACTAACTAGATAGAACTAGCTGACTAACTAGATAAAACTAGCTAACTAACTAGACTTACTAGCTAGCAAATAGATTGCAAACCAATCAAAAGTCCATAACCCCCAAACATTCCATTTGCAAATGGTTGTCCACCAACCAGAAGGACAGTGATTTGGTCCCTGGCTCCTCCAGTCCGCATGATGATGTCAGATTGTCAGTGTCTTAAAATTGACAAGCCCAAAACTTGAAGTCCAACACACTACATGAAGTGTGGAGCGAACAAAATGTTGAAAAAGTGACATGTGCACACACACACATTTCTCATTCAGTGACTGACAGCTGGACCGCGAGGGATCGTCATGACAACTTAGGGCAGAAGTTTGGCATCAGTCTCCAGGGCGGCTGAGCTGTGAGTTTACCCAGGTAAGACAGCTTTCCTCTGGGGAGAAACACGGACACTCTTCCTCCTCTCCTTTTTAAACCTCCACCTTCTGCTTCCCTGTCAGCTCACTTTCCAATTCCTCTACCTTCCTTCCTCCTTGCATGAATTTCTTCTCTTGCCTCTTCAGTCCTCTGCTCCTTTCTTCTCCTATTCTTTTCTCCTCCCCTACAACGATCACCATCCCTGACAAAGCCTTGAGCGGCAGCCAGCGGCCCCCGAGAGCCGACTGCCTTCCTGCTAAAAATAAGAGCTGAGAGAAGAATCGCACAGAGCTGCCACCAACTGTGGGGAAGGACTGAAAATGGGAGAGATCTTTAGAGGATTTGGAAAAAGAGAAAAGGGGAAAATCTAAACTGAAAGAAAAAGAATGGAGGACAATTATTCAAGGGAAGAATGGAAGAGGGAAAGAAGTATCATAAGAGAAGAGGATATGATAAAGAAAGGAATAAATAGCACTATTAGAAAAATAAGTGAGAGTAGATTCGGAGAAAACATAAATAAGAGTAAAAGGTTTGGGAGCAGATGGCGTTACCTGACCGGATCTCATTTATACAGCAATACTCCGAATGCACTAAATCTGATCTTGGTAAATCTGTAATGTACACACTAAACAGCAGGAGTTGCATTGAGAGACAGAATGAGTGTGTGTGTGTGTGTGACAGAGACAGGGGCCAGGCGAGAATGAAAGAGAGAGAAGGAGAATAGGAATAACCAGATTATAAATATTTATACAAGAGGAAGAGAGAGCGATGGCAGAGTTGCAGGGAAGGAGAAGATAACAGCGGAGGGGAGAGACTGACTTCAGAGGCAGCACCAGGCGCGCTTGGCTCGCCTTATCTTTTCTTTCCCGTCTCACCCGTTGCCTTTCTCGCTGCTGGAGTGTGGGCTAGCTGATTTGCAGCCTGCACTCCCTGTAGCTTGTGTGTGTGTGTGTGTGTGTGTGTGTGTGAGAGGAAGGGAAGGACAAAAAGTTCTCCCCTTATCTCCTCCTTCTCCACTCCCCTCCCTTAGAGAAATAGATGAACACACAAAGGCCCATGCACCTGCTAACAGGCATCTGCCATTCTTGGGGAGGTGTGTGCCAGTGTTGATGATGCTCACAACAATGGCGATAATGATGATGATAACAGAGCGGCTCTGCACGCTCAGACTCTTGTAGATTTACCAATTCAACAGCTTTTTATTGTCACTCGACTGCATTCGAGGTCATTTCACTCCAGTTCCCAACAGATATCACATGGTGAAGATAAGGTTTACACTTTCTCCCAACTTGCAGAGATAAAATGCATCTACTAGGGTCTGGTTCAGCAAAAAGTCAAGGGAGAGAAGACAGCTTCCGTCAAGCTTTTACACTTTCCCTAGACATAATTAATATCTATTATTTCTGTGCCCTTAGGCAGTCAAAAGCACTTTGTTAGGGAATACCTGTTTACCTGCCAATCACACGGCAGCAGTCAACAGGTCAGGAGCATGAACGTTCACATCAACCTTCAGAATGGAGAAATCGGCTGGTCAAACTGGTTGAAGCTGATAGAAAGGCTTGGTCACTTGATAACCACTCTCTACAACTGCGGTGAGCAGAAAAAGCATCTCAAAATGTCCAACCCTGAGGTGGATGATGCGCAACAGCAGAAACTTCAGGTTCCATGCTTGTCAGAACAGAAATCTGCAGCTGCAGACTCACCACCACTGGACAGTTTAAAACCCACACTTTGGGCCTTAATACAAATCAATCGATGGTTTGAATGTCAGTCTGTCTGCGTACTGCAGAGTAATACTCATCTCTTCAGGGCCTCACTTTTCCATATTCTAATGCCTAACTCCAGCAGAATAATGCTCCATGTCACCAGGTACCTTTGCGATGTAGTAGCCACATGAATGTGCAGCTGGAAAATGTCTGAACAAAAAATACAAATGTGTCTGCCTGTAAATGGTACAGCCAAATATACTGAAGACTGAGAAAATTAATTCCTGAACGATCTATCTAGAAGAGTTTGAACAAATGTTCACAAATGTTAAGAGCAAATTATGTTCAATGTCAATCACACAGCAGCTTTTGTTTTCACATCTAGTACAGGCATACAATATTTCCTGGGAATCCCTTTAGTGAGTACACAATATGCTAACTAACCCATGGCTATTTAGGCTTAAATACCTTTCAGAATTATGAACCTGGTATTTGTCCACTCAACTGCTAAGATCCGTGGGTGGAGCCCTGCTGGTTATTCCAAGTTTCCACCTCATAACAAAGGAAATTCATTGCCCATTAAACTTGACTGACCTCCTAGTAGAAAGTCCATAGAAAGTCATAGACGTGACAGATGCAAAAATGAAAAAACAAAAGTATTTTTCTGTAGAGGAATGCACATGTCACTTCCTGCGTCTGCAGCACCTAGCTGCTCCACCTGTCACCTGAACAATGCAGAGGATTTGCTGCAGTTGTGAACGCGTCTGTGCAGAGAACCTCCTGCTGTGTTGTGTGAAAGGCAAACTGCGGGTAAAGTCCAGAGAATTGTCACGTCTGAAATCAGCGATGCTTTCTAATCTCTCTCCGCTCATTCCCTGCCATCTCTCGACTGTTGTCTCCAGTTATAAAACACCACCAGTACACTTAAAAGGGGGTTTGATCAAATAAAATGCAATGTTAAGTGCTGAAAACAGGGTTAAGATCGTCTACTTGATCATTTTTGAAAATCAAAGAGGGAATTCTCTGTGTGTTTTTCTCAGTGGTTTATCCCTGCTGTTTCAACATAGAAGGAGAACCCCTCAGGCTGTTGTCAGTGTTACACGACACTTCTGAACTGGGACATCTCTGCTCATCCCCCCCACATCATAAGCAAAAAAAATACTGCAGGTTTTGCATGTGTGCCGTATAAAAAATATTTTGTACCACAAATAACTGTCGTTTGTGCCCAGAAGCATAGCACAAGATTCTAGTTTTCTTCTTCTTTACAGGCAGCCATTGGATTTCATTTATTTCAGAGACTCCCTGTCATCACAACAAACATCCAGTCAACTTGATCTATTTTTCAAATCTCTATCATTGTGTGGAAGGGGAGTTATCAGTGGAAACATTTTTAGAACTGTCATTTCTGACATGTTAAAGATTTGTGAATCAGCAATCACAAAGTGCTGCATTCATGATCTCTGCTGCTCTTGAATAGAAAGAGGATACATTCTTGACTCTTTGTACATTTAAAAAGTTGGATATAAGTATAAAACTGCAAAAAAGTGAGCTGAATGTAGCCCTGATTCTGGAAACTTCAAAGAACCAGAGCAGGTAAATTTAGCCTAGCACTGACCCCAGCGGTAAAATAGATCATCACAAGGGCACCCATTTACAGAGATCAGGCTCCCGACCTGCTCTGAATCCAGACACACAACTTTTAGAGATGCTGACCTAGCCAGTCGTTAAACTTCTTGACCTCGGACGGTAGTCCCAGCTCGGTGAAGTCTCCGGCGTGGATGAACACATCTCCATATGGCATTTGGATGCTGTCAGTCCGAGAGTGAGTGTCTGAGATGCACACAAATCGGGTGTAGCCTGGTGGCTTAGGGGTGTCGTGGGCCATTGGGTCCACCCTGAGAAGAATAAAAGAACAGAACACAAGAAAGTTGAGGGAATGACGAGGAAAAGGGGTCAGTGCAGTTGTTGATGAACTTAAACAATACTGGAGAAAGAGATACAGTGCCGTATGCAAAATCTCTGCGGTAAGACGCTGACAATGAAAGAAGTTTGAATAAGTATCCAGCAAAAACCCTCCCCACAGACTGAGACAGAGGAGGAAACACTGAGAAGCTAGACCACAATAAAAGCAGAGCGGTGTAAGAGACAGAAAGAGAAATGTGCGGAGATAGAAAAAGAATAAAGTGCAGATGGAAAAAGAGCAGAGTCCTGTGGGATTTTCTGAGAGTGTGCAGATCTATAGGGTCTCCAGAGGGAAGAGAAGAGCTGGTGAATAACCGTGGCCCAGTTTAGCAAGTTCTCCTCCAGGTACGATAACACCCGGCCTTGCCTCCTCCTCCCCTCCCCCCTCCACACCCCACCTCAAGAGAGAAGTGAGGGGAGGTGGGGAACTAGATGCATGTTGGATAGTCATGAAGAAGTCAGCCACACAAAACTGATAAAATACAAAAGACGGTCCATGAATAATGTTTCAGTTTCATTATCTAGTATAGTGAAATGTAAACAAATGTACAGTGATGCTTTGTGTAGTCCAACTCTCTATGTTAGCATCAATATAACTGTGTAAAAGACAGCTTTCATGGCAAATGAATTTAAATCGAATCAAAGTCAAATTACAACAACAAAAGTATATATTTCAGTTTTATTTCAATTTTAAGGTCCAAGTGCTGACACCAATCCACCTGACATCAAAATCAGTCCCTGGTTTAATGGGCTGATGATTGTAGATAATACAAATATCCTAGATCCCTAAAAACACTATGTAAATAAAGGCCTAAGTTCAAATAGTAGCATGGGCAAAAATAAAGATGTAAAGACCAGGTAACAAGCAGTGTAAGACAATCATGTAGATGTTTTTTACATTGACATTCAGTCATTATTTGAAAACCAGCTTTAATTGGTAGTTTAAGAAAAATCAAACCAGTGCCAGCACCACGTCCTGAGTGGTTGCCCAACTGACGACTTGATGAAAAAATGAAGTCATGTCATTTTCTTTAGGAAAACAGGCTCATGACAAGTTTCAGCAAAAGGTTTGCTAATGAGGGACTATTGTAAGTGGACCCACATTTAGCACCGGTTGGTCTATTGCTGGTCATGGTGGTTAATGGGCGGCTGTGGCTCAGGGGTTAGAGCGGTCGTCCTCTAATCAGATGGTCGGCTATTCGATCCCAGTCCTCCACATGCCAAAATGTCCTTGGGCAAGATACTGAACCTCAGATTGCCCCTTCTTATAGAGAATGTGCTGCATATAGATGCACTGTAGGGTGAATGGCAAACTGTACTGTAAAGCGCTTTGAGTGATCGTCAGGACTAGAGAAGCTCTATATAAATACAAACCATTAAAACATTAACCATTTAGCGCATACAAGTTACATATGGGTCATGCTACTTGGTGTGTGGGTGTAATGATGAATCAAAATATCATTCAAATGCGCCAGTGTTTCCCCTATAATGGTAAAGGTTTGGCAGGTAAATGAGAAATAAAAAAATAATAACGAAAAGTTAACCAACTGCTCAATGAAGTCCAGCTTGTTAGTTTATTAAGGTTTATTGTGGCTTTTATCATTTTATTTCCCTGTTTAGTGTGTACGTAAAACGATTCTATTAAATGATCAGGTGAATGCGATGAAATGGAGCTCCCTGCAGTAACATATACAGCATACGATCAAAGTGTTTCTCCACATCATGGTTTTTACATTTTCTCCTGCTTTGTGTGACATGTTGTGAATGTTCATTCTTCATTTCTCTGCATGTTAACAATTAGGAAGACTCATTCAAATGTGCAATCATTTAAATCAGTGGATACGAAGAACGGTAGCATTAGAATGTAACAGAGGCACCAACTGTGAGCTTCTACAGCCATTTCTTTTCTTCAGGGGGTCATGTCCCCAAACTCCATAGCTGCTTGCATTTTCTCACTGGCTTTTTACTCTATATCCATGTGGAAAGCCTTGAATAATGCCATCGATTTCATCTCCATATCATGATGCCAACATTTTTCTCCAAGCCAAGGAAGGTAAAGTGCAACAATGAATCATGCTCACTGTGTTCATAATGTGCCACTTTTGCAAAGGCCATAGGTTACTCAGCTTAATCTTATGCCATCAAATATTTCTCTAATTTTAAAGAGAGTTCTCACAATTTTTGCATTTCTGGCCGCCTCGTGTTTTTCCTCCTGATGCACATTCGTGAGTTGTTGGTTTTTTTGGTAAGCACCACTGTGTCTGGTGAAAAGATTCTGGGCCAAACACTCTCTCAACCTTTGGCATATTTACTGTGATAAGATAGCTGAAAAACTAAAACTCAAAAACCGACCATTGTCTTTTGATTGTCCCATCAGGTTTCCACTACCACTATTCTAACTGTCTGCTAACCTGTGCCAGCAATTTTACCAACTGTACCCTGACTCACACACATGCTCATCAATTTGACATTTATATATGTTTATAATAAAGTTTCCAGCAGCTCAAAGGACATGCTCCCTCTCTTAATGTGAAACACACACAGGCACCACTGAGTTTCACCAACACACTGTAAGTAAAAGCAATTGCAATGAATCAATAACTGAAAACAGTGTTTTTCTGTGAAGCTGGGTGTAGTAGAGTGGCAGAACTATTGTACTGATAAAAACAGTGTTGTGGAAAATGACATTTCTGAATTTATTCAAACAGCGGTTCAATGCAGAGAAGAGGTGGATTTGCTATAAAAGAAAACACTGCAATAGAAAATTGAAACAGGAGCAACAAGGAGGCAACTATACATTCTGATAATATAAACGTAAAAACAGGATAAGTGAAATGTCAATAAGTATTTTCTAAAATATGAAACTACTCATTTAAAGGTACAGTGTGTAGAATTTAGTGACATCTAGAGGTGAAGTTTCATGTTGCAGCTGAATACTCCTCATCTCATCCTCTACTTCCCAACATGAAATAGAAGCTGTAGTGAACTTCAGTTGTCATAAAAACTAAAAAGGTTTTAGTTTGGACGACAGTAAAAAACATGGCGGCCTCCACAGAGAGGAGCCTCCTCCATGTAAATATAAAGTTTTTAAATATAAAGAGCCCATTCTATGGTAGAGAAGACAACAATTCATACAATTTAGAGGAAACACACAAGTGAAAACATCACTAGGATTATTTTATTTTCAATTTCTGCCAAAAAATCCTTTCACCTAAATCTTACACACTGGACCTTTAAGGGGTAATAACCATATCTGGTTCAAATTTCACTATGAATGAAAAATAATAAAAATAAATAAAATAAAAAGGTTAGATCCAGGATGCACAGGAAAAAGACTAGTATAACCGACAGCTGCTCTGCTGCGTATATTGTAAATCTACTCACATGTGGACGTGTGGTGGCTGGAAGCGTCCCTGGTTGATGTTGTAGAAGGTGAAGGCCTGAGTGGGGTTGGTGCTGTACTCGTCCACCTCCACCGTGGTCCTGTTGCCTCGCTGGGCGTGCGACTGAGCCTGCGACTGCTGCCGCCTCGCCGCCATAATCTCTGACAGGGTGAAGGCCATGGCACAGGGGACCCAGAGCAGAGTGGGTGGAGTCAGGTCCGGAACTTTAGCTAATTGCTGTTTTTGCTTTAGAACTGTGGGTGGATTGTACCAAACCTGAAGGGGGGCTGCAGCAAAGGCTTCCTGACAGGCTCAAACCCTCACAGAGCTCACAATCACAGTGAGCTGAGGAGAGATCATCGACTCCTCCCTCGTCTTTTTATTCTTTACAACTCCTCTGCACCTGAGACAAACAGAAGAGCAGAGCCGACATGAAGCATGTGTTGTGAAAAATCATCTACCTTCCATTATGATACAATCTATTTCCTAAACCAATGCTGTGAATACTTAGATTTTTCTGAAGTTCTCCATTACACGTGACATCTATTGCATGTCTCTCCGTCCTGGGAGAGGGATCCCTCACGTGAAGTTTCTACGTTCTTTTCCACTGTTAAAAGGGTTTTTTAGTAGTTTTTCCTTACTCTTGTTGAGGATGTCCCACCTTGTTAAGCCCTGTGAGACAAATTGTAATTTGTGAATATGGGCTATGCAAATAAAATTTGATTGATTGATTAAGAATGTAATTCAAAATAGTGTTGAAATATTAGTCAATTATTAGTCAATTGAATTAATTTTTTTAAATGCATATTTCATTCCATTCTTAAATGTCAGCATATGATGATTGTATGATTGTAAATGGGACATTTTTGAGAATGCAGATTAACTGAAAACTAAAACTGCTTAAATGAAAGGATTTTCAACCTTGTTGGACTGACAATGTATATATTTTTATATATTTAATAAAGAAACCTCATAATCAATGTAGCAGAACCAGAGAGGATGTCCTGTTAACTCAATGCATTTTTTTTCCATGTCAAAACCTGGCAACTATTACCCACAATACAACTCAACCTTTGACACGCAGTACAGATTTTAAAACCAACCATAGGCGTCACTAATAAAAGACAGAGGTTAACTTTCCCTAAGTAATCATGGATATATGAAGCTGACAGACTTCCACAGGACTGTGATGGGACTCACAAAAGCAGTCTAGGTGAATGGACGGTGTTTTTTAGATAGTTTTAAATATTAAGATAGAGGGGCTCTTTATTCTGTGCTCTATTTAATATTTCTTTATTTGTGTGCACGCCGTCCGACGCTGCTTTCATTTAAATTAAGTGATGATTTCGATTTTTCAGCAGCGCTTCATCAAATGCTCAGCTCTGCAGCTCAGCTTCATGAGGCTCTGGCAACTGCCTCCTCAGAGCAGAGCCTCTGAGAGGTGCTAAGAAGATGGGGATGCTGGGAGAAGGAGGTGATAATTTGGGGACTAGCATCTTTGGCAAAGTCCGCCTAGACCGCCGCGCAATGTCGGTGTGCCATCTCAATTCCTCATTCACTGCGACCTCACGCGCTGACAGAACACCGACGTGACAGATACACACTCCACGCGGCGGTTGTTTGTCACGGGCAAATCCCAGCATGCTCCATGGATGTGTTTCAGGAGCTCATACAGTAACTTGCATGTTCTGCGTGCACACGCTGCGTACGCAGGTCGGTGCATGCATATCTAAATGCACTTCTGTCGGAATGAATTTGACTGTGACAGCCTCTCTCACAGAGAAATGTTAAGAAAATGCCGAGCGTAGACGACTTCAGCAGCGCCCTCAATCCACTCAAACCCTCAGTGTCTAAAATAAAATCTCTTCCTGACGTCTGTCAGATAACTCCACCACAGTTTCAATCCTTTTAAATCGGCGATTAAATCCATTTACAGTCAGCTTCCTGAATTTGTAAGACAAGTTAAACATGAATCAGAAAATTATATTGAAGTCTTTACTTTTTGTTCATTTTCCTCTAATATTGCTGATGCAGTCAGCTGAAGGTGAATATTAGTATTCAGTCCTGTGGAAATAAGGACCAATGAAAAGCCGGTGAAGTTAACCTGAATGTTTCCCAAACAGATTTGAAAAGGGTTGAGGTGAGACATTATCAGAGATTGATTGGCCCTGCGACCAACCCAACCCTATTGTGGAGAACATATGAAACTCTCTATAAAACATTTCTCACACTCTGTAAAGTTCTGGGCTGGTGTCTATAGACAGTTATTGAAATCTATTCCAAAACAATACCGAACTTTAGAACAAACAATAAAGCAATACTTTTTTCAAATAATTTAAAAAAATCTAGCTTTAATCCATTTGTATGCAAAACTGCTCCCACCCTATTTAAACTGGCTGTAGTGAAAGCAGCGGAGCTTAGGCTGCAGTATCTATGCAGAAGTGTTCAGCACCGGTACTGGTACGGGTTCACATGTTTTTCACGTGTTCACACTGAAGTAAGGCCTTCATGCAACACAAGGTTCTGATCCAGCAAGCCCAGGTTGAATAAACACAACTGTGAATTTGAAGGCTTCTCCCCACACATTTGTTAATTATAGTAGCAGCCAGGGTTTTTAAACATAAGAACATTAATTGAAAATAGTAGAAAAAATAGTAGAAACACAGAACCACATGTTAATGTTACAAAGGAAAGGACCATGTGCTTGTGTGTATCTGTTTAACCACAATGTGTTTCATTGACGCAGATCTTTTCCTATCACATGCATGTGACTTAAACACAACATACAGTGTAGAGTTTGACTTCAAATATAAACGTGTCTGTATAAAATCCATTTCTGTGTTTGACAATGTTCCCCTCTTTCAGATACAAACAATCTAACATTCACACCTACATCAGAAAGCGACTGGCAGGTTGTGCAGAGGAATGAAAGTAGACAGGGTTTGAACTCCTCTCTCATCTGCTCTTTTTTTCGAATCAGTCACTCTACAACTCGTGATCCTCACCTCTGTGACTAATTGCATGAATACTACAAAGACACACGCAAACAAAACCAAGTTCTTGCAGCTTTTCTACACAGGAGCAGGCACCGCCTGTCTGGTATATCTCAAAGTACAATTACACGATTATTTAACCGATACATCTGTCATCATAACCTGGCTGCATAACAGATACAAAATTGGCAGGAATTAGTCTTTCACATACAAATCAGTATCAGCGTTTATGTTAACTGATATGCGCTAAGCGGAAAAACTTTACAGAGTTAACAATGCCCAGAATTTCTAAATGTAA